CCATTGTGAGCAATGCACCGCCAGTTTTCACAGCAGCTAGAGTTTCTTCTGCCGCTCCTCATGCAACAGTGTCCTCTAGTAGTTCACATACCTCTCCTACTCTTTTAGCGAGAAATTTCACCGTATCAAAAATATCAGAGAACTTTCTCAGCATTCTGAGAGAATCTTCCGCTCAGGTCTTAGATCATGGAGGGGACTTCGTGGGGGTTAATGAGGTGCGGGTACCTTTCTTGGACTTGATGAAGAATTTGACCTCCGACTTTGCAGTATTACCGTATTGGTTGCACCTGACCAAGGTTGAAGACCTTTTCAATCAATGGCAAGATCGTCGATCTCGATCTCTTTACCCTTTAGCTGAGGAACGGGCCATGCAAACTATGCGGCAAAGGGATGACTCCTTATTTCAACTTAACCGTCAATTGCTGGAGACCAAGCAACGGATTAAGGAGTTTAAAGAGATCGAAGAGAATTTGTCTCGTGAAGGTAGAAAGGTTGCAAGCATTGAACTTCAAAAGCAACATCAAGTCAACCATCTTCAAGCTCAACTTAAGGCTCTTCAGGCCCAATTGGCAGAGGCCGAAGCAGAGTTGGCGGGCATGACAGACATGAAGTAGACATTGGCTTCAAAACAAATGCAGCATCAACCCTTGCTTCAAGCCGAAATTGATCGAATGGAGCAGCTAGAAAAAGTTGTAAATGACATGAGCGTCTATCCTGATGAGGAGCTACGTAGACATGCTTTGGCTGAAGTTGAGGCAGAAAACCAGGAGTCCATAGCTAAGCTCACTGAGGAGATTCGTTAGATTGCTGGATCCATTTAGCTCCATTTTCTTTATCGGACTTTTGTAGCCCCCTTCCTCACATTTTTTTTATTTATATATAAGTAGAATTTCGGATGTCTTTGTTCACTAACTCTACTTTGCACTTTAATGCATAATCTAATGCCAAAGTTCATGAACTTCGTTGCTTTGCGATTTTAAGACTTGAAGTACGAACCTTGTTACTCTGATACGAGGTTGGATTCAAATTCCAATTCGTATTTGACATAACGAGATTCTAGTCTCGTTCAATTAAACCTCGGCGTTTGAACCCAATTAGCGGAATGACCTTCATGGAAGACGAGGTTCAAATCCAATTTCAATCGAGTTTCAATACTTGAGTAGAATCAAAGGAACGACCTTCGTCGATGACGAGGTTCTGATCCAGTTTTGATCAAATCTCAATACTTGAGTCTAGTTAGAGGGACGACCTTCGTCGAAGACGAGGTTCGGATCCTAATTCAATCAAGTCTCAACACTTGAGTCTAATTAGAGGAACGACCTTCGTCGAAGACAAGGTTCGGATCCAACACATGAGTATAATTAAAGGAACGATCTTCATCAAAGATGAGGTTCAGATTCTATTTTAATCAAGTCTCAACACTTGAGTCCACTAGAGGGATGACCTTCGTCGAAGACGAGGTTCGAATCCACTTTCGATCGAGTTTCAATACTTAAGTCTAGTTTGAAATAGCAACCCTCGTTATTTTTAACTTAGGAACGAGAATAAATCTCATTGAACGACGTGACAACTTTCAACAGTTCCAAGACTGTTGATCCACAAGAATCCGTCTTTTCATCTCGTTAACGTTAAGTCTTGAGTACTTAATGCGTCGTTTCGAGCTACGTTTTCTTTGGCGTTAATTATGAATGCAATTGATGGCGTCGCTTTGTTCACAGCACCCTTTGGCGGTTCGGTGCTTAGGGATTCGTGTAACGAATCCTAGCCACTTTGTTGGCTCCTTCGCCTATAAATAGGCAGCCACTTTTCGAATGTTGGCTCCTTCGCCTATAAATAGGCAGCCACTTTTCGAAAGGATTCATCTTCCTCTTTTGTGCCTTGTTTCCAAAAATGATTCAGAGGAAACGAACCATTTTAAGACTTCCACCTTTGCTTCCTATTAGACTCCTAGCTCCGACAATCGTCGCCGGTGAGGTAGGCAAAGTTGATGACTTTGTCACTTCAAGTAACTCTTCTGACCCGATCCCTGATCTCTTGGTCTTTGTAGTAGCTCGCTCATTTGAGGATTTCTCAATGTTCCAGAGTCGAAATTAGGATATATTTTGACAACTTGTTGGACTTTTGAATGTAATCTCGAAGAGATATCTTGAATTCAAATATGCTTGCTGTTTCGACATGTCATGCACCCCCAAGCATATAGTCTTTTCTCTGGACTTCGGTCTATGTGGCAACTTCACAGACTCAGTGAAGTGCCTCTTTTCGGAGGAGTCAGCAATAATGTTAGAGTTGCCTTCATGTTCTGTGGAGATGGGAGAAGTGCTGATCCTATGGTCAGAGCTTGTGGTGTTTTAATTAGTAGTTAGTTTACCCAAGTAGGTAAACGTGTGCTACAAGCACCAAAGCTAAAAGTTGGGTATGGGGAAGACTTCATGTCCAGGAATGGAAGATGAAACTTCAACAACAAGACAACGAGTTTGTTGCGGACGAGGCTCGTAGTGCAATCTCGAAGGTCGTCAAAAACTTGTAACTGAACTTCGTATTGTAGTCCGAATGTCGTCAAAAGAACTTGTAACCGAACCTCGTATTGTAACTAAAAGAACTTGTAACTGGACCTCGTATTCTAGTTCGAGTATTCTAAGTTCAATCTATGTACTTTGAGTTTCTGTATCTTCAATTATATATGAATAAAATTTATATTTTATCCACATATTGTTCTCTTACATAACTGAAGCTTTCTAACTTAGGATTTTTAGCAAACCCTCAGCTGTCAATGGACTTGGTTGTCTTTACCAACTGCCGTTTGAGTTGGACTAGTCATACTTTTCCCCTCAGTATGATGAGTTGTCAAAGAGTTCTTCTTAGACTTCAATGCTAAGATTTCTCTTCTATCTTTAGTCTCTTTTAGACTTCAGGTCAAATGTGTGATAACGAGGTTCAAAATATAACTAAGTATTAAGGACGAAGTTCAACACGTGGCAGACTCGTCGGGAAAACGAACGTCATTTGGGGAAAATGACGATGTTAGGATGATCAAGTCATTCAATGGCTTAGAATAACAACGACAAAGAAAACAAAGGCACATCACTTGGTAGGCCTAAGTTAGGAAAACGAACGTCATTTGGGAAAATGACGATGTTAGGAAAATCACATCGTTCAGTGACTTTAGAAGTATGACGATGTTGGAAACGAAGACACATCACTTGGTAGGCCTAAGTTAGGAAAACGAACGTCATTTGGGAAAATGATGACGTTAGGAAAATCACATCATTCAGTGACTTTAGAAGTATGACGATGTTGGAAACGAAAGCACATCACTTGGTAGGCCTAAGTTAGGAAAACGAACGTCATTTGGGAAAATGACGATGTTAGGAAAATCACATCGTTCAGTGACTTTAGAAGTATAACAATGTTGGAAACAAAGGCACATCACTTGGTAGGCCTAAGTTAGGAAAACGAACGTCATTTGGAAAAATAACGATGTTAGGAAAGCAACACATCACATAGTAGGTTACTATTAGAAGGCCATCACAATTAGAGGTAGAATTAACACAGTGATAGTCCCACTATCCTATTGAAGAGGATTAGTGAGGGAGATTTGGAGGAGATGAAATAAAGAAATCATTACCTTTATTTGCTTCTTCTCACGCGGCAAGGTACATTTGATGATGAAATTTACGGGTAATATTTCTTCAGAAAGTTACCGTTGATAGGCATCATAAGTTTGTCGCCATCTTGAGTGATAAGACGATAGGCTCCATTTGAGTAGACTATTTCTACTACAAATGACCCTTCCCATTTTGGCTCAAACTTTCCTTTCTTCTTGGAGTTTAAAATCATTGGGCACTGAGCCACAAGAACCAAGTCGCCTTCCTTAAATGTGCGGTATTTAACCTTCTTATCAAATGCTCTGGAAATTCGAGCTTGATAAAGCTCAATGTGCTGCTAAGCCAATAGCCGCTTTTCATCAAGCGCTTCCAATTCTTTAAGACGTCGGCGATGACTCTCTTCCGTCGTCATACCAATTGTGAGTGCTATCTGCAAAGAGGGAATTTGGATTTCTAATGGTAATACGGCTTCACATCTGTCTACCAAGGAATATAGCGTTGCTCCTGTCGGCGCTCGAACCGTTGTGCGATAAGCCCACAAACTCTGACCCAATTTCTCGTTCCAATCTCTTTTGTTCGTTGAAACCACTTTAGTGAGAATTCTGATGATGGTCTTGTTAAATGCTTCTGCTAACCCTTTAGCAACAGGATTATAAGCCGTTGAAGCTAAATTCTTGATCCTAAATTTGTCACAGAATCGGGTGAAGGCTTGGCTAATGAATTGGAGCCCATTGTCATGAATGATACGTCTCGGAACATCGTACCTATATACGATGTGATGTTTTAAAAATTTAACAACATCACTCGTTTTGACTTCTCTCAATGGGATTTCTTCTGTCCATTTAGAAAAGTAATCAGTTATCGCCAAAATGAAGTGATGTCCTTTGGAAGAGGATGGTGTCACTGGGCCAACAATGTCCATTCCCCACATTTCGAAAGGCCATGAAGTGGTTGAAGGATGAAGAAGCTCAGGTGGTCGATGCATGTAATTAGCATGTATCTGATAGGCGTGGTATCGTTTGGCATAAGCAACAGCATCTTGTACCATATTAGGCCAATAATAACCCAATCTGTGTAGTCGGTCCCACAACTTAGGACCGGGCTGATGAGCTCCGCAGATGCCGTCATGAGCCTCTTTAAGGGCCTCTTTTGCTTCTCTATTTGACAAACAGCGAAGCAAAAGTCCATCGTACGACTTTCATACAAAATCTGGGATTGAGAATCATAGTAGAATCTAGGCGCTCGTCTACGAATAGATTCTCTTTCTTTGATGTCTTCAGGTAATAAGCCGTATAAGACATAATCGATGATCGAAAATCACCAATCTTTAGGTTCGAGTGTTGACGGTTCCGCTTCAACTGCATTGATCTGCACTGCATACTTTGATTTGAATAATTATCTGCTTGTTACTGTGACCTGCTGGGTAGTCCCTTTAGGTAGAGCTAAAGTAGCCGCAAGTGACGCCAATGCATCAGCATATGTATTCTTACGACGGGGTATATGGTCAATATAGAAGCCCTCAAAGGAATAGGCCAATGCGATTGCTGCGGCATGGTAAGGAATGAGATCTTCATTCCTAACCTCATATTCTCCCTTCATTTGATTAACAATGAGTTGAGAATCACCGTATGCTTCTAAACGTTTCACCCCCAACTGTTTGGCTATATCCAAGCCAACCAACAAAGCATTGTATTCTGTCACATTGTTAGAATACGGCTCTGTTAGAGAAATGACGCATAGGAGTATGTGGTTTTGGGGAGAGATAAAGACAACCCCCACTCCAGCTATAACCCGACCAGTAGAACTTGTCCTTACTGCACCATCGAAGTACAATTGCCATACTTGTTCTCTAGAGACGACGTTTGCTTCATACGTCTCATCAGGTTGCCATACTTGTTCTCTAGAGACGACGTTTGCTTCATACGTCTCATCAGGTATGTCCTGGTATAATTCAGCCTTTTCTCTTAGCGGATGATTAGCCATAAGGTCATAGATAGCCTGACCTTTCACTGCTTTTTGAGGTTTGAAGTGGATGTCATATTGGGAAAGCAACAAAGCCCACCTGGCGAGTCGCCAGTTCAATGCACTAGGCTGTGTCATGAATACCTGAATAGGATTGACCTGAGAAATGACATGTATGATTTGCCCAACCAAATAATGTCGCATTTTCTAAACTGTGAAGACCATCGCTAAACATTCCTTCTCAATGAGAGGATAACGAGGTTCAGCACCCGATAGTGTCCAACTGAGATAGTAGACGGCTTGTTCATGGCCATTTTCATCATCTTGTGCCAAGAGTCCTGCTAATGCATGATCTGTAGCCCGAATATATATCAAGAAAGGTTTACCTGATTTTGGTGTGACCAATATCGATGGATTGGAGAGATATTGCTTAATCTCCTCGAATGCTTTTTGGCAAGCCTCGTCCCACATAAAAGATACTCCTTTCTTCATTAATTTTGAGAATGGTTGGCATTTCCCGGATAGGTTAGAAATGAACCTGCGAATATACGCCAATCGTCCTTGTAAGCCTTGAAGCTCCTTAAGATTCCTGGGAGGTGGTAGCTCTTGGATGGCCTTGGCTTTATCTGGGTCCAAACGAATTCCGTTAGCCGTGACTACGAACCCGAGAAATTTACCACTAGCCATTCCTAAGAATGACTTAGTTGGATTCATCTTGAGCTGGTGCGCCCGCATAAGATCAAACATTATTTTCAAGTCGTGTAAATGGTTTCCCTTGTCACGACTTTTGACGACCAAGTCATCAACGTAACATTCTATAATCTTTCGTAGATGTTTTTGGAAGATAGAGGTCATAGCGCGTTGATAGGTGGCGCCCACATTTTTCAACCCAAAGGGCATTACTGTATAATAGTATATCCCTGAAGGTGTTCGAAAGGATGTATGCTTTTCATCATCAGGATACATTTTGATTTGGTTGTATCCTGAGAATCCATCCATAAAGGACAACCTCTCAAACCCACACGTATTGTCAATAATGACGTCCGTGATAGGTAACGGAAAATCATCTTTAGGACAAGCCGAATTCAAGTCATGGAAGTTGATGCACACTTGAATCTTCCCGTTCTTTTTTAGGACAGAGACAATGTTGGCCACCCAATCATGATGTTGCTCTTTACGGATAAATCCTGATTCGATGAGCTTTTTGACTTCAGCTTCAATTGCTTCCATGATTTGGGGCCGAAATCGCCTTAGCTGTTGTTTAACAGGCTTAATATCTGGTTTGATATTTAATCGATGCATAGCCACTTAGGGATCAATCCCAGGCATATCCTCGTAGTTCCAAGCGAAGACATCAATATACTCTCGAATTAGGGTAATGAGGTCTTCTTTCTCTTCTGGTGATAAACTATCACTTATGAATATGGGTTTTGGATTAATCTCATCTCCCATGTTCACCTGAATCACCTTGTCATTAGTAGGGGGTTCGCATTGTTCAAAATGGTGTTCCCACTGTATACCGAGCTATCGACTTAATGGATCGTCAAACAAAAGTAATTGATCATCTTCCTGATTCTTTATCAAAGATATTGAGGTCATGTTAGCCATGAGTACTTTGAATACAGCTCCTGTACTGGTATCAGATTCCCAGTAGTTGGACTCGGAAGACGAGGTGAAAGAATCATCGTCTGACTCTCCTTTAGTTCCGAAACGCAGCATAAATGGTGGAGATTCATAACCCAATCCACTACGAGTTTTGTGATAATAATCTTCTGGCTTTCCTTCCAGGACATACGCAGATCGTATTGGTGTCCGGATCCCTCTGCCGAAATTTAAACCCTGTTTATGAATGAAATCATATCCCATATTCTTCATAAGGCTTCGGGTTGTTGGAGTAAAGTATGAAAATTACGGATCCCTTTCCTCTTTCACGGATTCCTCCAAAATGGTTTGCACCGGGCCATTACTCTTTCCAAAGATAATGTCTTTTTGACCGTTAACCTTACCCGGTACTATGAAGACTGCTTGCGAAGATTCGGTTTGTCGCCGATTTGTCACAAAAGACGACTGAATCGGCATGTACAAGTTTGATTCAGCATATAATTTGGATAGCGGATCCGCCATCACATCAGCGTTTATACCTGGCATGTTAGGATTTAATTCCACACGCGAGAAGTAAGCTAAATCATTATTATTAAAGATAACTTTGCTGTCTTTATAGACAAGATCATTTACATCCAGATCTTCAAGACCGATTACAACGTTGTAAGATGGAACAATCAAATTGTTATGGATCCATGGTCGACCCAGTAACATGTTGTAAGATGTCTCTGCGTCGATGACGTAAAAAGTGACATCCGTCCTCAAGTCACCCATCTGGCATTTGAGTTTGATTTTGCCAAGGGGACGAGTATTAGAGGTATTGAAGCTATATATGGTGGTGCTCGTCATTGATAAACGATGTAGAGGAATTCCAAGGTGATGAACGAGCCGCAATGGAATGATGCTCAAAGCAGAACCAGGATCAACCTGAATTCTGTCTACCCGAATAGAGCCGATGTACCCTGTGAAGTACAATGGTCTATCATGTTTCGGGTTCCCCGAATAGAGCCGATGTACCCTGTGAAGTACAATGGTCTATCATGTTTCGGGTTCCTCACATGCATGTATTCTTGAGAGAAGGTGATGCATGGTATTCTTCTTCGAAAAACTTGACAACATTGAGGACAAGCTTCTTCCAGCGTTGCTCCGGCTGGATTTGGTAGAAAATGAGTGAGGAAAGCCTCGTTATCCGCTAATGCTTCACGAAGAGCTTCTCTTGTTGATCGAGATAAACGTAGGAGCTCAAACAAGGTAATCCTTGCTGAGATGTTGGCTAACTGAGCCAGCACATCAAACCGAAAAGGATCATTCGAACTCTCCGGCACATCTTTCCTGAGTGCTTTGTTGTAATGAAGTTCCTTTGGTTGAGTTTGCTCCGCTACTTCTTTCCCTGGTCTGGGTGGTGTAGCCACTGTTTCGGAATATTTCTTCAAATACTCTTTTCCTCCGCGGGTTCCTGACACCTGTACAGGCTGTGCAGCGAAGGCTGGTTGTTCATCCTCAGAACTGCTGAGTGACGTAGTTTCAACCCCCTCATCTGGAACGATTGAAACGACGTTGCAAGTTCTTCGCGTGGCTCTAGGCTTCTTTGAGTTTGCCGATGTCCACTGCTCGTCCATTAATAAGTCAGGATGAACCCACATCAATTCGCCCTTAGGAGTAGTGTAAGGGACCATCCCCTTCTCTTTCTTCTGATGCGGGTCGAAGTTCACCACCCTCGCCTCCGCTTGAGGAATTGGTTGCACGCCATCTTGTATTTGTACTTCGGCGAAATCCCCAAATTGAAGCAAAACCATATTTGCAGACACCTTCTTTTGCTCAGCTTGAAGGGTCATCACACCTGCGTCTAATAAAGCTTATTTGCAGACACCTTCTTTTGCTCAGCTTGAAGGGTCATCACACCTGCGTCTAATAAAGCTTGAATCTTATCTTTCAGGATGTAACAAACTTTAGTTGGATGATGCACCATCCTGTGGTACATGCAAAAGTTAGGATCATCAGTCCTTGATACTTCTGCGTTCCGCTTCACCTCTGGTAGCTTGATCTTATTCATCTTGATTAAAGATGTAAGAATAGAAACCACATGTTCATCTTTGAAATCATATTTCTTCTAAAAACAATTGTCGGATGTATTCCCTTTTTGTTTGGTAGAGGATTTCGGAGATGGAGCTATCTCAACAGCCAAGGCGTCTTTTCCCTTCGATTGTTTCTGGGCATTATAGTTACCTTTACCACCTTCCTTTTTAGGCTGGGATTCTTGAGGTTCTTCAGCACTTATCCTCTTGAGCATGTTTTCTACTTGCTCTCCTTGCCAAACCAAATCTTTCCATGAACGGGCCTCAACAGTGCCCATCTTGGATAGGATATTGATAGAAAGATTGTTGCGACACATTTTCATGAGAGTAGCTTCAGAAACTTGATCGCGTGAATGCAACGATCGATTTCTGAATCTCCTAACGAAGTCACTGATCGACTCCATTTTCTTCTGTTTCTCGGGCAATAATGTAGCCATAGACACTTCAGTGTTATCGTCGAAGATCAGGCTAAGAAAAGCCTCTCTAAATCTCTCCAACTCTAGATTGACCCTGGTTCAAGTCTGCAGAACCATTCAAAAGCCACCCCCTTTAGAGTACTAATGAAAAGTCGAGTCATAATAGGGTCATTACCCACTATATGACCGGTCTGTGCTTGGAAATAATAAATATGTTGGGTAGGAGATCCGTTGCCATCGAATTGTACCAAGTTGAGTGGTTTGAATTTCAAAGGATACGGGATTGCATCCCATTCACTTGGATAGGGCCTTGACACCCCCAACTCTTTGTAATTTCCTTAAAGCTTTAGTGCGTCAAGCTACTTCTGAAAATCCTCCCACTTCTGATCTCGTTCTTTCGTACGAGGATTAGATTCAGCTTCGGACGATTCAGAATGAATCATCACAACCCTTTCTTCATCGTCTTCATCATAGCGATCTTCATCAACAGGTGAGTGTCTTCTACGCCTAGATCCTGAGGCTTGGGAATGAGTCTTCTTCTTCTTCTTTTTCTTCTCCTCATGGAGTCTCTCCACCATCGCTTCCAGGCGTCTGATGGACTCCTGCTGCTTCAGGATGGTTGATTGTTACTCTTCCAGCTTCCGCGAGATTTCTTCCTCTTTTCCTGTCATATGAGCACTTGCTTGCTCACTTTGGTCGGTATTAGAGGGCTGAGAAGTAGCAATGGTTGAATTTTTAGGTTCTTCACCGACACCACCGGATAAACCCGCTAGTTTACGGTAGTATAATGGGATCATTGCCCCAGTACGATAACGAGTATGTTGGTAAACGCCCTGGCTTTCAATAAGTGCTTCTCGTAATCCGGGAGATCTTTCAAAATCAGAAGACTCCGAATCATCAGCTGAGATTTTTCTTTTACCCTTGCTGGCCATGTTGATCGTCACTTCAATGTGGCGATTCTTGGGCGCTTGTTTCTTTGGACGAAAGCGTCTTCTTCTTGGTGATGAGACCATTGGAAATTCAGTCAATCGTCTGAAGACTGAAGATTTATGTGCTGACTCCCCACATGGACATTGGGAAAGTACCGTAGATATGAGCTTCTCACAGCAGTAATGTGATTGCATCTGATTCATGCTACGTTTGCGCGTGAGATAATCTCAAAGGTCACCATCTGGACAACCCCTAGTCAATTCTGTCGTCATGGCTTTACCCGAGCGAGACCCTCTAAATGATAGAGGTTGACGACCTTGGGTAAATTGACAAACTCCGTCATTTGCACGACGAGGTTCGTTGATAGGACGAGTTTGGTGAGTTCGTCTTCTCAGTCGATTCTTAACTTGAGGTTCGTTTTCTTGATGAACCTCGGTATGATCCGCTTGTTAATTTTGTTGAACCTCTTCTTGAGGATGAGGTTCGTGTTCTGAGTCTACTAGGGTTCAAGGATAAGGTCCGTCTTTCGGACATTCCTCATTCACCTGACCCTCGTCAAACTTGTTGACCTTAGGTTGATTAACCTTCGGTCGTTAATGAAAGCCGTCTAGCGAGACCAAAGCTCGAGCCCTGCGGTGAGCTTGATTTTGGCGCTGACGTTGTCGAGCGCGTCTCGATAATGGAGTAATAGAAACCTTTGCTTCAGTCAGAACTGAGCGAGGTTCGTCATTCAAAGCCATAATTTGGCTGGTAGAAGCCGAAGTTCGGCTAGGTTGTTTAGCATACAATTTCTTAGCCTGACGACTAGTTTCTGGAGCCTCCTCTTTGAGGGGCTTGGACTTTTCCTTGAGACTAACTCGAGTTGAATCATCAGAAGCCACTTGGGCTGAAGTCTCATACGAGACTTGACGACACTTTCATGCCTTCGTGGGACTAGACTTACCAGAGGAGAGGTACTCCTCGTATTTGGACAGGTCAAATTCGATGACCAGAGTTTTGACGTCCGTTCCCACTGCAATCTTTTCTGTTTGTGCCACCACCATCTCGTCGGAGAGAATTGTTGCTCCCACTGTGGTCGCCATCGTCTGTAGGGTCAAAAAATTGATGTTGGGATTGATTTTCTTATTTTAAGAAATGGGTTCGATCACTTGGTACGAAACCCTTACGGATTGATTTTCTTATTTTAAGAAATGGGTTCGATCACTTGGTACGAAACCCTTACAATCACTCACACTCTCTCTCGATTACAGATGAAGAGAAGATTAATTCAGCTTCTCTTTGTTTAACGTGGGTTCTTGGTAGCGAAAGGATGCTTCCCTCGATGCTTGAGTCGAGCTTGCCTCCTGTTGACGATCAGACCAAGATCACAAGAGCTTCTGATGTTTGTTGGCCGGCTAGAATTGAGATTCGAACTCCGAATCCGTACGCAGAAACTTTGATCTCTGATGCTTCTCTTAGTCCAAGCTTGAAAATCTCCAATTAATTGATAATCAACCAACCCCTTTATCTGTAGTCATCGATGGCTATTTATAGGAGTTTGAGCACGTAACCGACATGCCATAATCGTGGAGTCGTGGGTGTAACTGATGTGATGAACTTGTGGAGTCGTGGCGTAACTGGCTCCTGGAATCTAGCCCACGTGGCTGACTGGGTCTTCATGACCGTTACAGCCTGATTTAATGTGGGTGACGAACTTCACTGCGTTGGCGAACCTCATTCTTATTGCATGACGAGCCTCGTGAGCTTCATCTTCACTGACAAGCTTTAAATCTGATGACAAGCTTTGGTTTCATTGATGAACTTCACCTCCGATGATGAACTCCGAATCTCGTATCCAATGACGAGGTTCGAACATCGTATCCAATGATGAGCCTCATCTTTGGCAGCTAGAGTTCAACTCGTGTCCAATGACGAGCTTCGAACCCTGTATCCACTAGTGAACTTCGAACTCGTATCCAATGACGATCTCCGAATTCTATATCCAATAGCGAACTTCGAACCTCGTATCCAATAACGAGCTCCGAGTCTCGTAGATCCGTTTTATTCAATAATGAACTTTATCTTTCAATGTTGAGTTTCGCTGCATAGCGACCTTCGTTCTCGAGGTTGATCTTTTCTAAACGACGAACCTCATTTCTGATTGAGAAGGAGTTCGTTTCCCTGACCCTTCTTTTCACCTTTCAAATTTTGGCATTTTTTAATGCCTACACCTGCTACCAAATTAGCCTTTCTCGAATGGTACTAAATCGCAAACTCGTAGTCCTTGATGAACTCAACCCATCGCTGCTATCTTTGATTGAGTTCTTTCTAAAGAAGAGGTTTTCAAGCTCTGATGATTTGTGAATAGCTCGAATTGTATTCCATACAGATAGTGTCTCCATGTCTTTAGTACAAAGACCACTACTGCTAACTCCAAGTCGTGTGTGAGATAATTCTACTCATGCATCCTGAACTATCATTAGATATAAGCCACTACTCTCTGGGTCTGCATCAAAGTACCTCCTAGACCCACTAATGATGCATCTATATAGACAACAAAAGTCTTATCGTTGCTCGGAATAGTCAATATCAGCATTGTATTCAACTTAGCCTTTAAAGTCTCAAAGGCTTCCTGGCACTCCGTGCCCCAAATAAATGGTACACCCTTCTTCGTAAGGCATGTAAGTGATGTCGCCATCTTTAAGAAGTCATGAATAAACTTCCTGTAATAGCCTGTCAAACCTAAGAAACTACGAATCTCTAAAACGGTCTTTTGCGGCTCCCAATCTAGTACTACTTCTACTTTCATGGAATCCACTACAATGCCCTTTCTGATAATGACGTGGCCAAAAAATCTGACCCCATATAGCCAAAACTCACACTTACTGAACTTAGCGTACAACTGATGCTCCCGTAAAGTCTACAATGCCAATCGAAGATGCTGCTCGTGCTCTGCCTTTGATCTCGAATAGATAAATATATCGACAATGAATACAATCATGAACTAGTCCAAATATGGAATGAAAACTCGGTTCATCAAATCCATGAATATCGCAGATATATTGGTCAGCCCAAATGGCATGATAAGAAACTCGAAGGACTCATATCGAGTCAGAAAAGTGGTCTTGGGAATATCCATCTCCCAAACTCACAATTGATGATAGCCAGAACGAAGAACAATCTCCAAGAAATGCTGCACTCCCTATAGCTGGTCGAACAAGTCATTGATCCTTGGTAGTGGATACCTATTCTGGATAGTGACATTGTTCAACTTATGATAATCTATGTACAAACGCATGCTACCATCCTTCTACTTCACAAAGATGACTGGTGCTCCCCTCAGAGAATGACTCCGATGAATAAAACCCTAAGATAATAACTCATCTAACTGGGTCTGTAGCTCTCTCATCTCAACAGGTACCATACGATAGGGTGCTTGGGATATCGGTGCTGTACCGGACTGCAACTTGATACTAAACTCAACCTCTCTCATAGGAGATAACCCAGATATATCCTAAAACACATCCTGATAATCTGAGACAAATCTAGTCCCGCACAAATCAACATTCTGGTCCCTCAGCATCACTTTCTTGACGTACGGTAGAAATAACTCTACAATCTGGATGCTCTGTGAGGTCGCTACGATCGACTCAGACCCATCGGACGCCCGCAAGATGATTGTTTTAGCAAACAGTCGATACTGACATGGTAGGATGATAGCCAATCCATACCAAGAATGACGTCAAACTCCAACATTCGCAAAATGATCAAATCAATGATAAACTCGGACCCATCTCCTACAAACACTCTGACAGGGATACCTCCCCTAAAGGAGTAGAGACAGATAATGGTTCACCTCAAGGATGTGCGATCAACTGGAGCTTATCCATAAAGGTATGAGAGATAAAAGAATGTGAAGCTCCTAAATCAAACAAGATTCAAGATGGGGAAGGAATTCACTAAGAAAGTACCTTCCACTATGGCTGCGCTCGCACCATGATCACGTGATATGATTGCATAAACCCTGCCGGTGGTTGGCGCCTGCTGCGCTGCTGGTGGTAGGACATATAAGTCTGTCTGACCCTGAGGAAACTCTTGAATAGTGCGAATCTAGCCCGCTAGCCCCTCAATCCTCAGAACGGCAGGTGGTGCCTCTATCCTCTGCTACTAGTTATAACCACGGCCATGTGAGTACTGACCCTGACCACTATTCTGCTGTTGACCGTGTCCTCGTCCCTGTTGCTAGCCCTGGCCTCTGCCCTGCTGGCCTCCTGCTAGTGTACTACGACAATCCCTAGGTTTATGACCGATCTTGTTGCAGTTAAAACATGAACCCTAAAGCCTACGTTGCTAGTAAATTCTCGGATCATGCTGTGCTCCCTTCTTAAACTGACCTTGCTGCTGGTACTAAAAATCCTTACCCTACTGCTGGGGTCCTCCACGTTCGGCGAAAGGTCTCTTGCCCTTGACCTTGTTATTCTACTATCCTGACTTAGTGTTACCATCCTTGTTCTTCTAGAACATTGTAGTCTCTGTCTCCTATGAAATGGATGCATCAGCTACCTCTCTAACTGAGCGGAACCTCCTGGACATGAGGTAACGTCAAAGGCTTGGACGAATCCTAATAAGAAACATCTGAGCCTGACACTCTCCTGATTGTCACATGCCTGTAAATTGAAGTAGACTCATGAACCGACTCTCGTAATCTGCTACGAACATATCTCTTTGCTCCAGTCTATAAAACTCTAGCTCTTTCCTAGCCTATGCACTACGGTAGAGATGTACTGCTCATCAAAGAAATAGATGAAGTCCTCCCATGGTAGTATCATCTGGTGTTCTGGGGTGAACTAAAGTTTGTACCATCCTCTGACATCACCCTTTAGGTTGAAAGCTGCCAACCTCTGCTTCTGTACTAAATCGATGATAAGTAGGTCAAGGATATTACTCATGTCCTCCTTCCACTTGTGGGCTACAAGCGAACCTGATGACCCCTAAAATTCTGGTGCCCTAATCTTTTGGTACCTCTCAACTAGAAGAAACCAAGCCTCCTGCTCTGCAGCTACAGCTGATGGTGGGGTGAGTCCTGGTATAACCTCTGGGGACTCCTCTATGATGAGAATAGTTGTAATCACTGGCGATGGAACAATAGGTGGTGGTGTGCTTGGTGGCATGTGATTCACCACTTGCTCCTCGAGCACTGCTAGCCTAGCTGCTATAGGTGCCATGAGGTCTATGAGGTACTATGGAGCCTGTTGCGACTCAGGTGGAGCCTGCTGCTTCTCGGGTAGAGCCTGCTAGGGCTCTGGCTCCGGTTCATCCTGTCTCTCTCTCTCTCTCTCTGAGCACGGGATACTCTCCGTCTAAGTCCTCGTCCCGTCATCTAAAAATTTCGAGGAAGATAGTTTAGAAGATGTAGTTATAAGACCTCAGACAAAAGCATATATAACATAGAGCAATAAGAAAAATCGTATCGTAATTCATTCATACAAATACTTTTCAATCGAAGTAAGATAGTCATAATTTTTTTTGTAATTTTCGAGGTATACGTATATAACATCCTCACTCATTCTAGGAATTCCTAGCAGACTCTATACATAATTCCTAAGAAACACTATTCTAGCTCCACGACTCGACACAGGATAATCCTAAGGATGCTAGAACTTGAGCTCTGATACTAACTGTGACACCTTTGTTTTCACACATAGCTGCAGTCCAAGGTGAACCCAGAGATATCAAACCTGCCATGCACCCATATCGTGTAATAACACGTTTCACCAATCACAGTAATATCCTCTAGTGGAATCAAATACATGTGTAGGTACAAAACAAGCAAAATAAGGAAATAAAAACAATAGACATGATATAGAAAGAGATATCTCATAAACAAAAATCATGTCTCAACTAAATACATCTGATATCTGGAATAATAAAATTGTCTCAATATAAATCAACTGAAAATGGTACTAAGGCACATTACCTTTACAATATGAAAACAAAACTCTAATATCTAAATGAGAACATAAAACTATAGTGTAGTCTCAGCTACTAAAATGTGCGATGGCGATTATGCTAGAACTCTGTCATCTGGAGGCTCTCTGGAACTCTGAGCTTCCTAAAAAGGAAATTTAAAATAATAAAAAGAACAACAACAAGAGCGTCAGAGCGCTATTGTAAGATCACCTCAATCCACCCCTAAGGAAAGGGTTGAAAAAAAAAGTGGATGCTCTATCTATTAAGGATAGTCTATCTAGATTATTTTACCCGTATCTAATGGAATTAATATTTATACACCTACAAAGCGAGATGTAGTACGTCGAGCAAAATAATTCAAACAAGGAAACACTCAAGTATATACCATATGTCTCAAATTGTAGATAACTAAATATTATTCCTAGACTAAAAATGAAAGGAAACATAACTGGAAAGATAAAGCATCGAAATAATCATCAGTATATATATCTCATGTACTCGCACAACAGGGCATCTCAGTCATCAAATATATCAACAATGAGTCGAATTCATTTTTGGCATCCACCAAACTCAAGCTATCACATAATTGTCATATTGTAACTCTTCTCAAAATTTCTAATTCATCGTATTATCATGAACAATCGACTACCATGTAGGTATCATAACAGTGTACACGGCTCATTAGTCTCATCGCGAACTTAGTGCGTAACATGAGTGCGGGACGACCTACCATATAGGTATCCTAAAAGATGACTCACAAGCCTCATCGCACCCCCGTATGGGCGGACTACTAGACAAAGCATCCAAACCCGACTCAATGGCCTGTACAAATAGAATATCGATGTACCACCATACGTAGTACTAAACTGAGCTCATCAAAGATATCCATCTCGTGTATAAACTTTGTATGTCTAGTATATCGATGCACTATCTCATGTAGTAATGAGCTATGCTCATCAATGATATCCAATATGTGTATAAACGATCTCTAACTCAAATGTAATCAACTCAACACTTGTCAAAATCCCTTTTGGGATACTCATGTGTGTACTACGACACTATTCTTGTATATTTATATCTATACGTGTACTATCGTTTGACTCGAACCCCGTTATCACATCTCAAAACAGTGCAACACAATGTCCAGAAAAAGTCTTAGTAGTCGACTACTAATCTTATTAGTTGACTACACTGAGTCCATCCAGACTCTATGAGGCATGTATCAGGATTAGTAGTGGACTACTAAGCATAGTTGACTACACTGAGTCCATCCAGACTCTATGAGGCATGTATCAGGATTAGTAGTGGACTACTAAGCACATTAGTCGACTACTCTGTAATATTCACTCTATGAGGCATGTATCAGGATTAGTAGTGGACTACTAAGCACATTAGTCGACTACTCTGTAATATTCTAGTTTCTGGAAATTCAAACTGAACATGAGAAGCCGACTACTAAACTTAGTAGTCGACTATGCTATCAAAAAATGTATTCTTTCATGCACGAACAGAGCTTATCATTCACCATATACTTATCATGAGATTTGTACAAATGAAAACATGTAATATTCAACAGAAATCATCCTGAATATGAAACAAATCTATTAACTTATTCTAATTAGGGATTAACATCCTAATTAATCAATTTCCTCAATTAGCTCTTAACTAAACAACATAATTATCAACACTAGATAAAAACTATTCATGAACAGAGATGAAACTTCGTTTATACATGTCTATATGACTTAGGTATCACAAACCTAGGGTTTTAACGTGATTATCTTACAGGAAAACTCAATTAAACAACTAATTAGGGTTTACTCATGAGTTAAACATAATTAACAAGTTAAAACAAAATTAACATCAACCCTAATGATCATGAACATGTTTCTATCATCAGCAGCAAATATTTAACTTCAGATCTCGCATACGGTTAAGATTTATCATCAAAAATTTAATTTTTATCACATTAGGTTACACTTAACCATGAAAACATCAATTAAACATCTTCAAAACCTTAATTAATTATAGGTATTCGTTTGAATGAAGATGATCTTGCCTCAAATGTCGTGTTCAACTCCTGAACACGCGTACAAGATACCTTCTTCGTCAGAAACTATAAAGCCTCGTCTTTCTCTCGACCAACACCTCGAGATCTCTCCTAAAACTCACACTTTAGTGTTATAGTTTAAGGAGAAAGGTGGTAGTGTTAATCTCATGTGAAAGAGGATAAAAAGAGCTTTAAAACGAGTATATGTACACATATATACAACTGGGTTCAAAACAAAACGAATCCGATCCGAAATTCATAAGAAAACTGGAAACAACCTGACTAGTCGACTAATACCCTTACTAGTCTACTAATGGCCTTAGTAGTTGACTACTAAGCTTAGTAGTTGACTACTAAGCTTAGTAGTAGACTACTAAGAGCACAGATTCAGCTTATGCATATTTCGTGCATGATTCTCTTCTATACTTATATATATACATTAATTTGATCTCAAATCAAATCCTAGCATACTCAAGCATCAAAATATGTTATTTATAACTATATAACATATTTATTATTATTTATCACCATATATTTAAATTTACGGGGTTTTACATCCCACCCTCTCTCTCCTCTCCCGCCACCCCGTG